CAAAAAGTGAACGTTCACAACAGATTCTGTATTTCTGTACCTTGATTGGTCAAGAGCAAGTCACATGACATTCACTTCTTTTGATAATTATTATCTTGTTTTTCATGGCCAAAAGAACTTCATGTACATGTACACTGTACATGTATCTGTACATGTATTCCTGTAGCAACCAATATGTTTCCTGCTACCTCTTCCATTTTTTTGGTACATGTAGCTAAGGGCTACTGCCTACAATTACTTATGTACATGTACGTTACGGATACCTCTTGTTGCTAATGTTAGGCTAAATTAAATTAAACTTAAAGAACACAAATACAGAAATGCTGCAGACTGCTTGCTGTCTACAGTGACTTACATACAAATCACTACCCCCAGAACTGTGGGGTCCGACCTCCACCCAGCTCCCACGGGGCAGACGTCGGACCCCACTAGTTAAAAAAAATCACACCCCTAGGGCCATTTTCATACTCATAGAGCTGCTTAAGCACAAAATTTGCTTAAGCACAAAAACTTGCTTAAAAAACAAGGGTTACCAGCTCAAAATCTATGTGATTGTCATGTTAATCATAGACAGGTGAGTGCCGTTCCAAACCAATATACATCACATGGATTTTGGCTGGTAACCTGCTCTGTCAAGCAAGTTTTTTCACGCTTAAGCAGATTTTGTGCTTAAGCAGCTCTATGAAATTGACCCCAGACAAGAAAGGCAGGAAAATATTGGAACCCAAATTTATAGAATGATTTATAGAATGATCTCTCTATCCCGTTTTGTACCTTCTTCCTTCTTCTTAGTACTGCCAACAAACTCCTCAAACGGGATATACTGTTGCAGGTATAAAGTAAGATACAGTGTACAGGCTAGGACTATCAACGCACCAGATTTCGCAAAAAACGACTGAGTATTAAAGGACGCTTTACCAGCTGCAAAGTGCAATCTTAATCTTGGAGCAAAGGCTATATTAATAGCGCCCTCACAGGGTTGCTTGAATAAAAACCAGCCATATCTCATTTTAACAACTACTCAGCTGCATCAAATTCTTTAACGTCCTAAAAGTGTGTACTTATATGCCATTGTTCAAGAAATGCAATATTTTTCTAATATTATCTTCAACAACTCTTTAAGAAAGGTACTGAAGCAATCACTACCAATAGTGTGTAAAGATAATTTTTAAAAAATTCAGAGACAAATGAGGGCGCCATTACTTTTGTCAACATTAACAAAGCGAAAGGTCACTCAGACGTGTGTAACGTTTCCACGTCATTTTCTCCGTGATTGTATATGCAGCGGAAATCAAACCATCGTGAATTGTTTTCGTAATTCATGTGAATTACATCACCTACTATGAGACACATCACGTTGAATGTGAGGATCAAGTTGGTGTTGGGCCTTTGCAGCGGTTGAAACTGAGTGGCAATTGCAGCTGAGTTGGTTGAAATCATAGCCGTACATGTAGTGTACGTGCCACTTAACAACAGCAACGTTAATCTGTTGAAAAAGTTACCACAAACTGAAAAGACGTCAAACCTATCCAACTGGACTGGGTGATTCAACATCACGGTACGGTAAAATATCAGGGAAGTGTGACACAGTAACGTAGTTCATTACTTCATTGATACTGTATGACTATAAACATGATAGATAAGCTCTTTGTCATGTTTTTCCATGAAATCTGCACTGTCAATGTCATGACGACTGTTGTTCTAAGACTGTTTGATTTATTGAAAACAAGAAAACTAGGACGTGCAGGATAGAGACAAAGATGTAACTCTCTGTGACATCTGGGACCCGTGGGAGCTTTGTGACCTTTCGCGATGAAAACAAACAAACTGCTACATTATGAAAAGTCAACGGTGTTTTCACTTCGCTGTGACCTCGAGTTGTGAAAGCTCCTGGAAGAATGCATAAACATGATAAAGTTGCATCCATCCACATGTCACATACTTTTTTATTAAAACTAAATATGAACTTTGCCACTGACTGTGCTGCCTGGTCTCTGAAAAAAGGGCATGTACGTGTATCACATCACTGCAGTTGAAGAATCTCTGTGAAATGTTTGGTTTGGAATCCCAGGTTGTACTTGTAAGGTGTAATGGGTTAATCTGTGTGATCATTCTATCTGGCCTCAAAGGCGATAAGATCTCCCTTCATGATTGTGTCTGTCAATAATTCCACCTGCAGACAATTACTGTATGGTTGTGTCTGTCAATAATTCCACCTGCAGACAATTATGTCAATTTCCTTTCTACTTCACAGTTTGGGAAGATTGTTTCAAGAAAAATGGGACGTGAATTTTTGCGATTTCATACAGGATTGACTGATAACACGGTGTAATCATGCAGATCAAATGATCGCACTCAACACACATGTACATGTAATCATACTGATCGCATGTACGTACCGGTATACATTTCCCAATCAACATGATCTGATTAAACTTCAAAAGGCAGGCAGTAAAATGAACAAATAACAAACAAGATAAAACAAAAAACTGCAGCAAATTCTGATTTGACATTTGATTATCATAAAAGGCTGTTCATTTTTGTCCGTTTGTAATGAAAACCTATGTACATTGTAATTTTGCCTGTATTGTTTTGGCAGGAACTGAGTTTGGTTGTGCTTTAACATTGTTGAGCAGTAGTTTGAGGAGACATCATCTTAAAAGCAACATGGAATACTCCTGGCTGCTACCATGCAACATTTGCATTCAGAACCACCAAAGAAGGTCACAGCTTCGAGTACACGTTCAAATATCAGCAATTATTTTATTGTTCTGCACTGTCACAAATTCATGGGGGTAAGTGTCATGAATATTCACATTGGCCTACAGCACATGTTGAAAACTATTTTGTAGTTCCAGAGCCATACAGAAAGTACATGTACCTTCTAGTTCTAGAACTAGATTGAGCTCTAGACTTATGAGCCACTACATGTATGTGTTGCCATTTACACCTTTAGACTTGTCAACCACTGAATTTTTGGTCGATAAGTATATGGAAGCAAAACAAAGCAGAATTGAAAATACATGTAAGGTATCCTAAAATAAGGCAATGTAGTGCATCACTTTGCCTGGCCCCATCATTTCTTTCTTAGAAACACGAACCTTGCTATTGGAAATATTCACATCCACAAACCCAATTTTTTTTTTTACTTTACTTTATTCAGGAGGGTACATGTATTCAGATATTGCTTGGCCCATTACTGCTATTTGGGTGGTCTACTTTGACATACAATTCATTTGTCTTATTCAGCAAGGCCCATAGTGGCTCAGTGTATCAACTCATGATAAATTTATCATCCAATCCGTCATTGTCAAAATCACCGGTACTGTCAGTCTGGCACATTATTTATTTCACCCTTCACTGTTCCTCAGTACGGACACTGGTCAGGAATATGGCAAGGACGTTCTGTCTGTTGACGGGTCCAGGCAAGGAGAGAGGACCAACCAACAAGGAACCTCGGATGATGCTGTCATGAGACTCCTTGACGCTAAGACCCCGGCAGCGAGTGGAGCGCCTTGCTGGATGACGGAGTCATTTACCACCAAGAGCCCATGTCAGGCATGTGATGAACACGCAATGGTATGCCTGAACAGAACTTAAATTTACCCTCCTATAGCTATTTTCCTACAACCTCTCAAGTTTAGTTCTGTGTTCCTTATTTTCACTTTTTTCAGTATTTTTGAGCCAATTTTCATGCTATGCAAAGTTGCATATTTATGAGCAAAACTGTGATGTGCATGTACATGTAGTTCTAGGCACTGAACCACAATATTGCACTGATTTGTGCACAAAAATAAGCTGGAATTTTTAGATTTTGCTGTAAATTTCCATTTATTGTAGTGTGTTACACGTATACAGCAAAATTTCAACATGAAATCATATAATCTGAACAGTGTCTTGCCTGATTTACATCACAGCAATGCACTCACTTGGCAGGAAAAGCTTCGAAGAGGTTCAGTGCGCAAGTTAATATAACTTCAAAAGGATTTTAGTTTGCGTACATTGAAGAGGAGAATGATACACAGAAAGTGTATTAAACCTATCAAAACTGGTCTGAAACACTGTTGCTTATCCACGCTGAGTAAAAGTATCCTTCACAGGCAAAAAGAGATTTGTTGGTGAAATTCACTTCAGTTGAGCGCCTGGTGCACACATGCAATGAATTAAGTGTACACACCTTCAAAAGCCTTGCAGTAATTCTCTGTGGAACATGGTTGTAAGGTTGTAAACCACTCACTGCTGGGCTCTGGCTAAGCTGTTAGCCATCTCTTCGCTGCAGTTCTTTCAGTTTGCAGGACACTGCACTTTCTTAACACAACATAAGTCTCAACTTGAAGAATCACAGAGTTTTGTTTTGGTAGTTGTCAGGTCATGTTTTTGTTCCTGAATGAATAATTCTTTGAAATTTTTCCATTAGAAATATGCAAGCTACTGTTGTAACGAGACAGGATTTCGACAACTTGTCCAGTGTGAAACCTCTGATTCTCCCGTTTATAAAAGGTGAGACAAATAAATCCACTAATTCATTCCAGACTTGTTCTCATGAGAAAGATCATACCATCGTTAAACAGGGAGTCTATGTTGAAAAACGGAAGGGTATCTCTGGAGTCAAATCATGGTTATGTAACTCATGCAGTTTGTGCTATGGTCCTGTATCCATACAGCTGTCCAAAGACCAAGTGGGCTATGGAGAAGAGCTTCTGGACGTTCGAAGGTGTGATGCTGGCGGTGGGGCTGTCATCCTTTGTGGTTGTCATTTTCAGGAGGCGAGCACTAGACTGGGAGGCACTTCAACGGGTCAAGAAGCAAATAGCAAACTCTGTTTGAGGTGGCTGCATCTCGACAGTCAACTACATGTAGTTGGAATATATTGTTGTGGCACCAACATTTTAACATCATCCACAAACTGAGAGGTTGGATTTGAGGGCAAAATCATTAATTTTTCACTGCATAGATTTTGAGGCACAATAAGAGCAGTACATTACGATCAACTTCTACGACACAGTAAATGAAAATTAGGCAAAAAAATGATTCCACAGTATTCAGTTAGGGTTGCCCACAATCCTTTATATTTCCTCACAAGATTTGGGCAGTGTTGAGTAGCGTGTACCAGCAGTCTTGATTCAAATAAGCCAGCCAGACCTAAAGACCAATGCTGTTGTTGATAAACTTCTCTGCCCACATTGCTTTCAGAGAGCTTTGTAACATTGTTCCTACGAATGCCGTGTTGGGAAATTCTTTGGCAGTGATTGACAAAAACAGGAATCTTGATTTCACATTTTCTGAAAGATATGAATCACTCTTGGAAAATTGACAGTTGAAGTAAAAGGATGTGAACTTCCTTGATTGTGCACAAAGGCCACAGGTTGTTGAAGGACACTGGGCCATTTATACATGTGCTTTCAATACATACTTGGTCTTTTACAATGTTAATTGTACGATTCAAACTTAAACCAAACTAGCTTTTATGGACATCAAGTATTATGCCACATGCCATGTGGAAACATTTGTTGTGTGTATATGCATGCATTGCATTGCTATCTAGCTTAGCCAAGGTCAGTATGTTAAAACCTTCATAAAGTGTGACGTCAACTTCATTTTCTGTGGCCACTTTATTTTCGTAACTGTGGTCCACTTCCAAACCTAATTCATGTACATATTTTGAAGAAATCTGCCCTCTGATGTATAGGGTCTGCGTATTTGTAGATATGTGCATTTTGTATGTCCAATGGGACAGATCCTACCTGTACGAACTGAATTCCATCAAAATTCCTATTTAATAAAATCTCTTGTGACGTAACCTGAATGCTGTTTGTTCAGCTTGCACTAATATTGGCTCTCAAGTTATTTTCACACACAGGACAAATACAGACTGAAGAACTAACTTAACACAAGCAAATACTTTTTAGCCATGTTTTTATTGATCAGCCAGTATCCCTTTGTATCTTACATCCATCGTTGAAATTTTGCTGAATTCTGAGGGTTCTTGTTTACAGATAATACGGCCAACTTAAAATGCAATGCCTGGGTGGCCTTTGTTTTTTATAGGGACAAATCCCCTATGTGCTAGTCTGCAGCGATGCCCGTCTGTGTTCCGCTCTGTGGGCGTGGCATCTTGGTGAGTGTAGGAGGGCCTGGCCTCTAGATCCGCTGAGGGGGTGCACGGAAGCCTGGTGCACCAGACTCGGTCACCTGCAAGTTCTGTATGGTTCCAAAGTCCTGAGAGAGATCAAAATACAGTAGAACGAGTACTTGTGACTAGCAGGCCACAACAGAGCGTCAAACCCTACCCAAGTCACCTTTAAAAAGCTCAATCATCGTTTCAGTTGTCCCAAGTTATGGGAACTGTACTCGTACATTCCTGGATCCTAGCAAATCCACGCATATGTTTGGAAGAGACCTGCAGGATTGAAAAGGTCCATCCTAGCCTCTATAATAGTGCATGGAGATCGGGTTGCCTTTTATGCTCAAGTAGCGACTAATCAGATTAATAATTAAGACTTATCAGACTAATGAATGGTTATGGGCTTTGAGCTGAACCAAGAGAGGGCGCAATTTTCCTAGCAACGGAGGCTCCTTTGATAGTAACTACGAATCGCCGGTTCACAAAGGACTATGACATGCAAGCATTGCATTCACGTTGCTACCAACAAAATGAACACTCCCAACCAACATGGCTCTTTTCAACCAATGAGGGGGTGCTTCGGGTCAGGGCAGATTGACAGACAAATCAGCCCTATCAAAAAATTATGGATCATATTTAAGTCGCAACATTTCTACGCCCCGTCCACATCCCAAGTCAACCTACCAGGACTTTCAGCATTTCCTTGGTGTCCGGGTCAACCTCGATGATGTCTTGTTCGATGGCCGACACCTCGGGGACGTAGTTATCCCTTCTCTCTCTCTCCTCCTCTTGGAGCTTGATGGAGATGCCGCGGACAGGGCCGGCCTGGATGCGTTTCATCAGATGGGTAACAAAGCTGTCGACCAAACCATAAACACAATCTCAAACAGGCCAGAACGTAGATGTATGCATCCTTTTTTTGTCAACATAAGGCATTTGCTTTGAACTTCTGCTAAGCGTTTGTTGGACAGATTGTTTTTTATACCAGAAATAAAGTCTGCAAAGTGCAACCTTTACAACTCAAAACAAAAACATGGCTTGTGGTTCTTATAAATTCTTTCAAAATAAAACAATCTTTCAAACTACCATCCATCTTTCAAGGCCGTGTTAGGTCTTGGCTAGCAAACCAATATGCATATGCATGTACATTTGGTATGTTAAATGTAAGTACCAACCTTCATTACAAACTAATCTCACCAAACCTAACTCCCCAGCCAGTGCTTAGAACCCTTCCTTTGTACTTGGAATGCTCCACTATACAGTAAACAATGGCTCCCTCTTTGTACATGGTCTTCCACTTGCAGAGGCATTGAGTCCCGATAACTGGGCTCGACCTCACTCAATGCCACAACATCCCGCACATTCCAGGGTGCATTTTTTGACAAATGGGGGAGGGTCAGGGTGAAATTATTGTGCCCGACAACCTATGTCTTAAGCCTACCCAGCGATCTTGTTTCGCAGCTTCTTGCTAGGGATGATGGCGATCTCTTCGCACACTCGCTTGTTGGTGTGGAAATCCAGAGTCAGCCGGGTGTAGTACTTTTCAATGATCACCCTGGCCCCCTTCTTGACAGTCTTGGTCCTGACACGCCCCTGTCAAGACACAAAATACTCTATGAACAAAAAAAATGCCTAAACCAAAACCATACAAATGACAACAATGATGGTTTTTTTCATTGGACTAAAGTACATGTCCTGCATTTGTGCATACATGTAGGCTATTTGGAAATAGGCACAGAAAAAGGTGCAAAGATGTGCGAAAATGTTCAGTACGCTGACACAAAATTGCGTATACGGATGTGTGGCTAAGGATGGATCGGGAGTGAGAGTCCGTGCTACACTAGTGGGGCTAAGTCCGAGGATACTGTTTACACACGAGGTTTCCTCCCCGCTGTACATATGTCCATGTACTTGTGCAGTGTTGTACAGTAGGCCTATATTCAGTCGCATGCATAAGACACTCCAGTGCTGTGTTGGGAAGAGGACGTGCAAAGTTTGGCATGTCTCTCGCGTCGGTAAAAAAAGGGAAAAACAGAAAAATCAGTGCCTGCACAAGGAAGAAAAACAAGGAAAGTCTGGCTTGTCAATGGCCAAAAGGTGGAAAATGAAATTCGGCATAGGCCTTGGCCTATTCAACAAAAAGTGGAAATCTGCTAGGCCTATAAAACGGAGATTCCAACCCCTGCTGAACTCGGAGAAGTCTCTTTATTTCAGGACAAAATCAGTTCCCAAAAGAAAGAATGTCTTAGGCCCAGTATGTCAACGAAGGAGCATACGTAGGCCTCTGTTTACGGGTCTAGCCTAATATTAACCGTGAGAAAATACATGTACATAAATGAAAAACATGTACATGTACACACATAGGGTCTATGTGATATTACTTAACGAATTCAGTGAGTTTTTGTTGGGAAAACTACAGCATTGTAACTTAAGATACAACAGAATGATTAACAATATCTGATGAAAAACATCTTAAATATTACGTCAAGCACGACATTTTTAAGTTTAGGTGAATATACACGAAGATGAGCATGGATTTAATTAGAAAGTTGACTTCTCCTCACCATCTTGAAATTTCAAGCATAAAAAGAGACCAAATATAGAAGGACATGGTATCTAGACGTCAGGCGAATTATTAGAACGCAATACAACTCATCACGAAGAAAAAGTGCCCGACTACTTTAACATGACGCTGAGGGCGGGCTTTCACATTCATATCAGAAGTTGTTTTCACGTCTATGGGTGCAGTCCACTAATTCAAGCAATAACTTCTGCCTAGCTCATTAGCATTAAAAGTGCCCCAACAGTATCTTTTGAAAAAGGGGATCGTTTGGCCCCCAAAATGGTGTGATTGTGTAAATCTTTGCCGCGATCAAGTCCCTGGTTCTTTGGGCTTCAATCTGAGGGCAGAAGGGATAAAAATGCTCAGTACTATCAACTGGTTCTGAAAAGAACTTGAGTACTCTAGTTCTTTTCAGAACCACACATACTCACAAAAGAGCGATCCTTGCATGGTGCTACGGCAAACCTTTCACTTAACTTGCTACCTTCACCATGAAAAGTTTCTAAGTTCAGGCCCGTAAGTATTTATTAAGTATTTTCTTGGGGGGCGAATCCTTGACAAAGAGGACCAAGCATTGGGGGGTTGGGGGTTACAAGCTTGTTTACTAGTAAACTCCCGATGGGGGGATTGACCGACTCGGAGGCGAATGTTTTTGTGCTCAAAATGTTCCTCTACAGCTCAAAATCTTTTCTTGCCTTTTAGTCGCGTGGGGAGGGGGTGCATACCGCCTAGTTACCAGCTTGAAGTTCAATCAACAGATATGTAGATGTACATGTAATGTTTGCATCTGCGAGATGTTTTTCGCTGGAGGAAGTTCTTGTGCTACAACTCTAGCCCCTATCCGAATAGGCTAGTGGATTTTTTTCACAAATCTTCTGACACCACTCGAGTATACAGCGTTTTAAATACATGTACACGTTTGTCATTTTCAAAGGCAACATTCCTAGCATAAAAAGTAAAAAAATGCGAATAATTCCATCAAAATTCCATCAGTTTTTCTTTTTTTTACACGTGTCTAAAATGTCAAGATCTCAGCCACCCAGCGAGAAGGTTGCTTACACCCATTTCAACTTGGTCCACGTTTTTAAAAAGGCCCTCCTTCCCTCATCACAGAGTGAAATAAGGTGAGAAACAACGAAAAACATACACTGGAACTTCTGAAGTAAAAATCTCATTTATTATCAAACATGAAAATCACAGGTTAAGTGTAAAAAAAAAGAAATCTAAACTGAAACTTCCTGGTGCCTACCGATTGATTGGAAAGTTATGAATGAGATGGTTCTTGGCTAACACGTGTAAACATAATTACACCCAGCACATAAAATATCTGCGAGTGAATACGTAAAGCATATTGATTCATTTTGGTATGATTACTGCTTATAAAGACTTTTTAAGAGTAGTTTTGGTGTAAAACAAGGCAGTCACTAGTAATTTCCCTAAATTTGTAGGCTAGAGTAAGTCACCCAAATAAATTGCAATCAAGAAAGAAACTGGTGAGCGAAATGACACAAAAGTAGAAAAAATAGAGCACTTCGATATTACAGGTTCAGTAAAAAGAACAATGGTGCAAAGACAAGTTATATATAGTGCAGTGATACAAATATAAATTACTTCCTTTCCTCTAGAAAAAAACAAACAACAGGATACATGTAGTTGTCACTTATAAATCAAACACGAATGTCATTATTTTTCCCCCGTAAACTGCATAGATTAGGATTCTGCTTATATTTTATTGTCCTTTTATTTTGAAATGACTGTATAAAAGTTTCTCAAGAGTTTTCAATCAGCAGCAGGCTGTCACATGTGACATTATGCGGGTCCTATAATTAAAACATGGATGCATGCTCTAAGGTGCAATCCTAAGTGAGAAACAGGCCAACCACTTTCAAAGTAAACCAGCAAATTGCAACTTTGAAAGACACTTTAAAACCCAGAAAATTGCAGGACTTTAACACGCTTAAAGTTTATAGCTTGAAAAAAGCACGAGTATAAATACTACCATCTATGGCATGCATGTAATATCAACACAGAAATACCAAAACCATTGTTAAAGCAACCCCAATTTACAGCGTATCATTTATTCAAATCTACTTATAATATAAAACTATAAAACCTAACAATCTCAGTTTCCACAATGTGCCCTATTTCATTGCCGTCAAGATCTGTTAAAATGTGACGATGGAAGGTACGTGTATATGAAATAACCATTGATTCATTCTTTTTTGTCTGTAAAATCTTTCACGCACGTGCACACGTAGGCTGTCGAAAATGCTACCAATTTATTTGCATTATTTAACAGTTTAAGGCAATTTGCATCCGCGTTTTTCACATACTTGCTAAACCATACTCATCCGTACGGTACAGATTACAAGTAAACACTATTCCTACAAGATATTTGTGCTCATTCAACAAATATTATATTTACACCCGATAAGTCTTTCTCCATAAACTGAATTATGAACAAAACAAAATGAGTACAAAAATCTTCAACAAAAAGAAATCAAGCACAACCTGTCTCCAACATAAATTGATACCGAGGAAAGAAGAAACCAGATAAAAATTATTGTAAATGGGCGTAACAATTAAAACAACAACCGTTTCAAGTCAATCAAGGATGAGGCATATGTATCAATTTCACCCACTCCAATTCTGGGGATGAACATTAAACATTGGCCATTAAATCAGGCTTGGTTGCAGGTAGTTTTTACCTTTCACTCTGACAATGCCTTTATTCTTTGGCGCAGAGCACTTTACTGCATGCTTCTTGCTATAATGAAGTGCAGGCACACAGAGCCAATAAAGAGTAGGGTGGCCGGGTAAGAGGCAGTAAACTGCAAAGTGCTGGCAATGACTTGAACTTATCCACCTGCATAATACAGGTAGTGCATGGCAGCCATTTCTTCTGGTAAGACCTTTTGTGCGCCAGGGATACATATGAGTCCACCTTTTGTGCTATCCCCTCAGTAATGTAACAAAAGCAGTTAGCAGAAACATGGCAGCAATATATAACATCTCTGTATCATGGTTTACCATCTACAGTTTGTGGCATCTGCCATAATCTCTTTGGTATTCTCATGAATCTACTTGCATCCCACAAGTGAACTGTATGCAAGTGCATGTCAACAAAGCAGCTGCATGCTATGCTTGTTCAAATACATGTACATGTATACATAAGTTAGGTGGACCCCTTTCAAATTCTGGAATTTCAGACTTTTCTCTGTCTATATAAGCCAGCGGACGACACCTTGTGTTGGAGGTCTTCTAGGTTAACCTTGAATGCTTAAAAAAAATTGACTGCAAATGAAGGAGAAAAAAACAGAAACATGGAAGAGAAAAAAGAAATGCTTTTCAAAACTGATCGGATCTTAGTTCAGCCATTTTGCAAGGGCGGCAGCAGAGAGTGCCAGCAAGAGGCTGGCCTTGACCACGTTGGAGCCAGCCGGAGAGTCGGTGTTGCATTTGTCGCCTGAGCAGCACCGCTTGCAGGCTCCCCACGCCTCGTTCTTGCAGTTGTCAGAGTCCGAGCAGGTGGCGTCCTGATTGCCAGCACAGCCTCGTCGGATGAACCAGTAGTTGGAGTCAACGGATGGGCCTCCAGACTGGAAAGTCTCCGACTGACGAGGATAAAGAGAGGGAAACAATCAAAAACTTCCGATGTTATAAATAGTCCATTTACTGTCATGTACAATATCATGTTCAAAGTCGACATTTCATGTGTACCCCTCCTTCTCAGTCAGTTACTTTTATGGCATTGCCTCAAGACCTTTTAAGTGCTCTGATAGGGCTGTGTCAGATATTTCAATAGCACCTGGTAACAACTATACATGTTAAGAAGGAATTATCAATACTTTGAGTATTTCTGAAGAGTGAAAATCAATGAGATAAAAAGGGGCACAACAAAAACCAGTTGACTGGTGGCTGGAACTGAATTTTAAAGCATATCTAAAGGTGTTACAAATAAACTTCAGTAAAGCTAAACTTACAATCATACTCCATGTACATGTAGGGCCCCTCAAATTTTTTTCCCCAGTTTTATGGTTTTGCTTTATGTACATGTAGTAAGGGGTCATCCATTTTTGTCATTTTCACAGCGTACAAAGCGTACGCTGTGGGGGAGGGGGTGAATTGGTTGCGTACGCTTTAGAAATATCACCCCAAACTACATGTATTGCGTGTGTGCAGAGAGTGTGCAGGACTCTGATGCATCATTCGTACAAGCTTGGGCAATGGCTATTTCTTAACCACTCAACAATTTTACCTGGTGTCATACAAAAATAAAGGAACACAAACAAGTACTGAGCAAAATTCATTAACACTGAAATCAGACCCACGTGTGAAACAGTCTTCGAGCTTCCCCCAAAGCTCTGCTGCGCCGTGCATTCAATGAGGTTTAGTACCCAGACACAAGTGTATTTTATTATTTATTATAATTTATTTTATTATTCCCTTGTGTGGAAAGGTGCCCTGCTAAATGCACAGCGTGCTTAATACACGAAAGTTTGCAATGTACATTTACATAACAATGCAAAAAAAAATCATTGTAACTACACAGCTGCATACATTTTACTACTTTTTACTAGCTTTCGTGAAGAGGGAAAAATCAAATCAAAGATACCTTGGCTGACTGCTATTCTTGGCCACAAAAAATATACACTTTTATTTCAAGAAAAAAGTACCTGTCCATCGGGCAATTTGTCCTGAACTTTTACTTGCCCGAACTGAAAGAAGAAAGTTGTCCCAGGCAATCAGAAAACCGTAACTGTCAAGGCCTGTCATGGAAATAGTGTTTCCTCCTGCCACTATTCTCTGGTTGTACATGAACATTGTAAATTAGAATGGGTCCTGAAGCACCACAGAGAAATCATCACTTCATTTTGTACTCTTTTAGAGGGGGGAGGGGACTGGGAGGGGACTTGTGAAAATGATGACAAAAATGGATGACCCATAAGTGTCACTGGGATAAGGCACTGTGGAAAGTACCATGGCTTAATGGACCTTGGAGTCCCCCAAGAATGAAAGCTGCTAAACCATACAACTAACAGCTGAAATCCAGCAGTTTTCAGAAGTGAAAGGACCATTCCCTACAATGTATAGTGTCAATGCTTCAATATAGCAACAAGGTACATGTACTGTGCCAGTACCATTTACAGTGGACACTGATAATATGGGCCACCATTAAGGCTCAAATTTCACTGAAAAACAAATGGACATGCACTTTATCCACCTGTACATGTAGTACCTATGTACAGTACATGTGCACCTGATCATATGCACCAGTTCTGTGGCAGGACTACAAACAATCACCTCCATGATACAATACATGCATTTTTTATTTGTGGCAAATGGAAGAAAACATATGTGAACTGGGTGTACAGGTGAAAAGACACCTGGTACAATCAACCACTGAGTTTGCTGAAGGTCACCCATTATCAACACAATACTTTAGGAAACAACACCTCTCCCAACAGGGCTATTGTACTTGTATGCAATCTTCCTGCATTGTTGCTGAGGCACTGCAAACAATCTCAGTGTGCTTTGAAGTATAAAACCTGCCCCACAATGTATGGCACCAGTGCTTGTATGTGTTCAGTGAGCTGTAAAGTTAGACCATAGAGAACCAATGACTCATGACCCTCAGTACTGATGTGTATGGTACATGTACATTGTACATGTAAGGTTCTGCAGTGAGCATGGTGAGCGAAGTTCAAACTGCTGTGGCATGGTGGAATGATGGAACAAGTACATGTACATGTACCAGTAACTCCACCATTCCAGCACACTAACTTATATGTATATTTCACCTGATTTGTGTAACAGTAGGCTTTTTCACAATCCTTGATGTTCAACCCTTTTCGGGTAAGGAGATTTCTTTACCCGGTTTTTGTAGGGTAATAGTAATTATGTATATGGGGTACATGTGTCGTGACTACATGTAGCAGAAGGTTCAAAACACTGCCAAGCCAAAATACACAGTGTACAGTTATGACAAAGTTCCAGACACAAGACAAATTACTTTGTTATAACCAGGAGTTGGTTACCACAGGAGTGGAAAACAAAAAAAGCAACAGAATACACAAGAAATTGGGATTCACAGAATCTACTTTTTCAAAAAGTGTTTTGTGATTTACATTGAGAGTCCACTGTACTAAAAGCTGAAACAAAATGTGAATTGTTTATTTTTCTTCAGAAAACTCGGCTGTTACACCAAAATACATGTAGTATCTGATATCAGAAATTTGCCATGTTGGTTGCAAGAGCCAACGAATTATTATGGGCTTTTGTGCTGCAAAAATTACACTTTTCATCTTCAACAGTGGAACTTTCTGCCCCTCTCAACAAATCAGATCAAACCTTAAAACATCTTTCTACCCGTTTTGCATTCTGGGTGGCAAGGCTGAATGCTTCCAGAAACCGGCATCAAATTACGTAAAGCTGCTTAACTGAAATTCCTGCTACTCAAATCCACACCTCGAGATCAAATGAAAGAGCAGAATTCAAATGCAAAGTACTTGAAAAGGATGTTCGGCTGGTAACCTACACGTACAATGCAGGAGTACATGTACATGTAATTCTTCTGCCCAGATTTATTCTGTCCTTGTCAAATACTGGAGCTTAGACGGCCTTGTGAAACTGGCCCCCTGCTTCAAAATGAACTTGTGCTTTCAACTTACATAGCAGTATGATTCGCAGTCTATCTCTGTCACGTCTGGTGCACTTGTAACATCCGTCCAGCAAGGTGAATTTTTAGGGTCGTTTTGATCATAAAAGCATTCATAGCACTTGATCTGCGCACTGCACAGGGTACCTGCATTATAGAGTTCCAGGGGGTAAACATATCATTTGTTTATTTCAGATATCTCTTACATGAATGTCCTTTTAAAAAGATCAACACCACTTGTTTTGACCCTAACATTTTGAATTTGAGGTCATGAATCAAAAATTTGGATTCTAAGATTTTCATTTGAAAAATTGTCTAAGAATACAACCCAGCCAAAAAATGATGCCTTTACAAAAACTGTTTACACTTGCGTGCTTCAAGTTGTCTTGAAGAATGACCATTTAATGAGATTTCACATGAAATTTTGGTGATATTTAAATGGTACAACTGTTTCACACGGCAGATTTAGTGACATTGACATTTTGAAGTACAAATGTGACCTACATGTAACTGTGCATGTCACCAGACTTGCATACTATTAATTTGCTAAACACAATAAATTAGGTAGAAATAAAAATAAAAATGCAAAAATCTACTGAAACAACTTGATCATACAAAAGGATGAAATTCCAAAGAGGAGATTAACAGGTTGAGGAAAATTTTAGAAAATTGATGAGAATGGAATAAAACTGGTAAGGCACAAATTATGACTCATAAAAATGAAAATCCAGGGCTTACCAAGACAGGCTAGAAGGGCAAAGATGAAGAATACTGAAGAACTCATGGTTGGTGTAGGCAAAAGACTTGTAGAGTTTTTAAAAGAAGTTGATAGCTGAAAGACACAAGTAAATAATGGGTTAAAAACTACCCTAACATGTGCTGTATGCATACACGTGGGCAGGCCTTCACTTGAGGGGACAATTTTCTTAAAGGCAAATTTAAGACTGAGTTGTGGAGACACTTCTCTATTCCAACAACATGGTTAGTCCCAACAAAATGAGCGAAATCACATGTGTTTGCCCCTTAAACTACAGAACAAGTATGGGTCACTTGGGTGTCTAAATAGACAGAAGTTGAGTGTGCCTGTTTATTTTATTTCCTTATCTGATCATCCAACCGGACTTTTAGCCCTAATTACAGGATAATATCCTGTATTGAGTGAAAACAATGGAGAATGTTCAGTTTTGGAGTTGGGAGGAAAACCCCGGATAAATGTTCCAGGGAAAACCCACGGACTCAGATCACTGCAGATACACATGTACATGTAGGTACTGAAACCCCCATCCATATGTGGACCATGCCAGATTCAAACCCAGGCCCCCAGAGATGGAAAACGAGGAAAGAAACATTGTGCCAACCTGACTCCCCTAATAATGTACAGTATGCGTGTTGTATGTACATGTATGTAGTTTTGAACATGTACATGTAGGTACAGTACATGTATTGGGACCAACGATGTTGTCAGGTGGTACTCAATGTTACCAGCAATTTTTAAATACATGTACAAGTAGCTATAGCTGGGTAACGCTTGCATACTTTGGCTACATGTATGGAGAAACCACATGTACATGTAGTTATAGCCAGGTAACGCTTGAATACTGTAGCCACTCGTACATATACATGTACATGTATGGTTAAAGCACACTGGAGAAACTACAAACTTTTCTCGCCAGTTTCTCAGGATTGTCGCAAGTTTGCAAAAAGTTGGAAAATCAAACATACTGAAAATTTCAAAGAAACGACAAGTGGAATATTTTCTTTATGAAATTATTTATGTCATGGCATAGTGCACATGCAGTGCATGCATTGATATCTACACATATACCATGTATATGTATGTACATACTGCTTTATGTCCGATTCTATGCTTTTTATTTGATTTAACAGCAACCACAGAACCGCAAACAATCAAAATAAACAGAATAACAATAAAATGTCCATCAACTAGGGCCAAAGACTCCTCTTGAACCAACAGGTGGGGCATCAGGGTGGGTTTAGTATACCTTCTGGTACATGCACAGAATCACTGCCATGCATGTACATGTGCAGGTGCACAAAAGCCATCATGCTTCCTTGGTAAAGGTTGTTGTGCAAAAACAGCAAAGCAAAGCCAGAAATCTCAACACTGACCTTAATCCTTCACTTCAATAACACTGAGTGGCTTTTTAAATAACGTAATTCCCTCCATCCCTTGTACAGCAGTTATTATCGCAGACATTTATTTACAGGTAGTTAATATGAAATGGGATTGTTGATGTAAACCTGGATAATTTATTGTGTTTATTTTTATGTGAATATTTTATTTAAGATATGGAAATACCGGTAATTAACTAAACTAATAGGTGAATATCAAGGTCATCTGGAAATGACCTCTCATACAACACCGAATTTGACTGAAAGACCCAAATGTACATGTAAAGACAGTGAAAACACACTGTAGATGAGACTGCGTCAATGTACATGTACATGTAATACAAGAAAGTGTATGGTATTATCTAGTATCCCTCATCCAGTTTGTTTTAAAAAGGAAACTGAGATTAATTTCTTCATTTCTTGGACATGGCTAAATATTTTGGAAAATGGCAACCACCACTTATGAACTAATGATGTCCTCTTAATTATGACACCAAGAAATCCAATTTACTGACACATATTACTGAGCACAAAGCACTTCAATCAACCGTGTCAGAACGGGTCTTGCACCAGATTCACCGCAGCCTAATTCCGACAATTTTCATACCTGAAAAAAGAAAGACTTGAAGTATGTCCTTAAGGCTTGACAAAATGTTTATTCAGTGATTGGATTTGGGTGCTTATGCCTGTCTCAACCTTACCCCATTGTCCTTGACTATTAATGCACTCCTGATTACATGTACACGTATGTCTCTCTGTCTTCGTACAACCCTCCTATGCTGAAGTCACTCTTTGGGTCATTTGGTGAACACCTCAAAGAAGCACAGCTGTGTTGTGTTGTGCACTGCACCAACAGTCCCTCACAGGAATATCAGATTGCACTTTTGGGCTGCCCAACAATTGAGCTTGGCTGTTTCATGTGCATCATTGTGCAGTAAACCAAGTGCAGTGAAGAGGACTGCACAAAAGACCCCCAGTCATTTTGTGCTGGCAAGTTACTGTGTACACACTGAACCTGTGCATGTTTGAGTTCCATATAGAAAATACATGCTCACCAGTGACTATGGGCATTTGTGCACATTTGTGCTGTAAAACCAAAGGAGGGTTTTAATTAAGGTCTCAACTGCAGCGATGATTGTGGCATGTACATGTACATGTGTATGTAGGTCATTGATATCTTGCAGTGGTGACTTGTCAACTTGAGGTCAATTGGTTCTTACAATGTTCCCACAAAAATAAATCACAGGGGTTGAGGTCAGGGGACCTTGGTGGCCACTCAATCTCATACATGTAGTTGCAGTGCCAATAATTTTCTGTGATCGCCGGAAATCGGATGGAATTCACGGAATCAACACTTTGAAATGGAAATTACTGCTTGAAATGGAATTTCCCACTAGGAATGGCTTCAAAAGTACAGAAAACTTTCCACCAAGAACCATAAATAAATGCCTACCCAACTCTGAGAAAATGAACAACCTTTCCAACTTCTTAAGGAGTGTGCAATGAATAACATGCTGAAGATTGCAAAATTTGGAGGCTTAACAAATGCCCCTAACTGGGCAGACAAGGTTCTTTTCCAAAACATCTAACTGGTGCAAGGCCAGTTCTGGAATGGTTGATTGAACTGCTTCGTGCTCAGTAATCTATGACAGTAAATTGGATTTCTTGGTGTCATAATTAAGAGGACATCATTAGTTAATAAATGGTGGTTGCCAATTTCCAACATTTTTAAGGTCAGACATGTACCGGTAACTGGCTCTTTTTAATGTTCTGTTCTTCACTTTCAGCTGCGAAATGTTGAAGAAACGTCACATTTACACGTTTTGACTTCAGCCCTCAATGAGAGAGAGGAGAAATATCGAGGACCTTTCTTTTGCCTCATGAACATTGTTGGAGAATTTATTTTTGTCTGCTGGAGTGTGAATACATGTACAGTAGAACTCAAAATATCATTCCGGACATTTTTGGGCACCCAAGGCCCTGATTTGAAAATTCTCCATTATGAAACCATTTGAAATTGATACATACAAAAACTGTTCACAAGAATCAAAACTATTCAAATTCAAAAGAAAACNTTGTGCTGGCAGTCAACTGTGTACACACTGAACCTGTGCACGTTTGAGTCCCATATAGAAAATACACGCTCACCAGTGACTGTGGGCACTTGTGCACATTTGTGCTGTAAAACCAAAGGAGGGTTTTAATTAAGGTCTCAACTGCAGTGATGACTGTGGCATGTACATGTAGGTCATTGATATCTTGGGGTGGTGACTTGTCAACTTGAGGTCAATTGGTTCTTATGATGTCCTCACAAAAAGAAATCACAGGGGGTGAGGTCAGGGGACCTTGGTGGCCACTCAATCTCATACAGTAGTTGCAGAGCCAATAATTTTCCGTGATCGAGGAAAATGGATGGAATTCACGGAATCAACACTTTGAAATGGAAATTACTGCTTGAAATGGAATTTCCCACTAAGAATGGCTTCAAAATGTACTTGCAAGTGGTGTAGGTCTGTGAGCCCCAAGCATGCAGTGGCAGCCAGCACAGTGCAGCAGTGTGGTAAGGTACACACATTGGCCATTCTGCTACTTGCTCGGGGCTTCCAGTCCTCAACCACTCTGTTACCACAAACACACGCTGCTCAGTTGTAAGCTGCATTTTGCTGGTCTAAGAAAATGAACAACCTTTCCAACTTCTTAAGGAGTGTGCAACGTATAACATGCTGAAGATTGCATAATTTGGAGGCTTAACAAATGCCCCTAACTGGGCAGATAAGGTTCTTTTCCAAAACATCTAACTGGTGCAAGGCCAGTTCTGGAATGGTTGATTGAACTGCTTTGTGACAGTAAATTGGATTTCTTGGTGTCATGGTTAAGAGGACATCATTAGATAATAAATGGTGGTTGCCAATTTCCAACATTTTTAACCATGTCAAGGATATTAACAAATTAATCTCGTTTTCCTTTTTTTTTTAACACACAGTATAGTGCTACGTATAGTACATGTACATCAACTGAATTTGTCAACAGGAAAATTTGATACATAAACATGTACACGTAGGCCTACCTGTTCCCTAATTCTTCAAGAAATCTCTTCACAGACATGTCATCCGAACATCAAAAAGGTTCAATGTACATCTTTTGGAAAAGGTCAGACATGTAACTGGCTCTTTTTAATGTTCTGTTCTTCACTTTCACCTGCGAAATGTTGAAGATACGTCACATTTTACATGTATTGACTTCAGCCCTCAATGAGAGAGAGGAGAAATATCGAGGACCTTTCTTTTGCCTCATGAACATTGTTGGAGAATTGTGTCTGCTGGAGTGTGAATACATGTACAGTAGAACTCAAAATATCATTCCGGACATTTTTGGGCACCCAAGGCCCTGATTTGAAAATTCTCCATTATGAAACCGTTTGAAATTGATACATACAAAACTGTTCACAAGAATCAAAACTATTCCAATTCAAAAGAAAAGNATTGCTCTTTGCTTAAAATACTACAGTCATGATTAAATGATCTCAAAACTGAGAAAAGTACATTTTTAAAATCACTTTCAAATTGGCACACTGTAACCGCTCAGTTAACAGTGAGATTTTTTTAATCGGAATTCAAGTTTGTTGAACTTCCTGCAGCCGGACCCAATAAAATGAAAATCAACCTTTAGGCAGACATGATTTCTTATCTGGGAAATTGCTAGGCATCACAGTCACATAATTTGAAATGCCATATTCATGTAGGGGTCAAGGTCATGATGCTACCGGATGCAGACTTACATGCAGGTTTACAGTAAACCGACGGCCGTTTCCTGTCATTCAAGTACCGGTACATTGTAACATAAAAAACTGGTGCTCATTCTGAGCTTTGACAGAGAGCAAGCAAGAAACAGCCACTGGGTTGCTGTAAACTTGGCAAACCCACATCAGGATCAGTACATGAAAATGTACAGTATAAAAACAGAACTACATGTACATGTTACAGCGGCTCACTTATTCCATCAGCTATTAAGTGGTACAATAAGCAGTTGCAACAATCAGCAGGTGTATTGCAGTTCTTCTTTGTTTTATGAGGACCATGATACATGTATTTTTGTTTTCCCTGCTTTATTTTATAACTACATGTACATGTATTATATGATGATCTGTTGATGATCTGATGATCGTACACATGTAATATTAGTAGCATTTTTTTATGTAGCTATCAACTACATTGATTCTTAAATTTTGTATTTTTACTGTTCATTTTACGTGTGTAAAAAGGCCCCCCAAAATTTCCCTTTATTGGGATAATAATGTTACATTAAAGTTGATTTAAATGTACAACATGTACATGTATCACGAATGAGGTACAAGTATTATGTACATGTAGGCCTATTCATGGCCACCATCACGGTTGGGGGGCAAACTTGGTGAAAAAATAAAAATTTCCCCCAAATGCTAAATTGTACATGTACATGTATGTAATTTCCTGTGTTTTCTGCAAATGATATCTTGGAGAGAGTTCCATACATACATGTATGGACATGATGCCCCTCTGCACAAACCTACATAACACTTACATAAGTACAGGTCTGAAAAAACCTGAGTGCTTTCTAAATAAATGCTTTGGAATTTTCTTCGACATGTTATTATCACATTCTGACGGCTGCTATAACCTAAAAAAAGACAAAATTAGTGTTGTTTGTATATGAAACTCTTTCTGATATATCATCTCACAAATACATGCACCACTACATGTATATAGAAGGTCTGGTATTGAGCCATGTTTATGGGGCGACTGTAGTAATGACTGATGAGTTGTCTAGAGTCAAGTTGGTACATGTATGTATGTATATGTATGGATGTTTTACGATACCCACTATGAACAAAGTGTGTGGGGTGTCAAAAACATTTTGGAACCAAATTGCCAGGTCGTGCTATTAAGCGTCAACTACATGTAGTGTCAACAAGTTATTCAAACATGTTTATGCAAAAAAAATTATATGTATAATATTAACTGGACATCTAGATGTCCAGATAATATTCACTATAACATTTAATATCTAAAATGATATTCGAGTGAGGAAATTTCAGCGACAAAGTCGGTTCTGCTCATGCAGCCAAACCAGCATGACCAGCCACCATCTTGTTTTCACATGGACCAGCAGAGAAAAGAAATATGGCTTACATGGCGAAAATTTTCGTTTTCTTGCGTGATTCAGGAATAAAATTCCCTGTTTTTCTTGTAGTATGTTAGAATCTGTAAAATATGATGAAGCTACATGTACTTCGAAACCTTTAGACATGATTAGAAGATATTTTCAAGTTTGGACGCTTTGTTAACACTACTTACATGTATGTGTGTTGATGCTACATGTAAATAGCAAAACTGAAATTGACAAGTCTATTTATCTTGGGTTCACGTTATTTTAACACTTGGCAATAACTGACCTTCACTTCAGTGAGAAAAAAACAAAGAACATTGATTATTATTTTCATTTTATATGGGCCTAGCCAGCAGAAGCAGCATGACCAGCGAAGCCCTATTCAGAGGTAGGAACAATCATGGATGGGGCTAGTTGGGTTCGAACCGTCTCGGGTCACTAGAGGAGTAGAGGTTGAACATAAAGGAATGTAACCATTGATGGTCACCTGGTCACTTATGGTAATAATTGGTATGGAACCAATGTACATGTAACTTGAAATATGGAAGGACTGCGTAGCACCGTGATCACAATATCGACAGAATATAATCACATATTTCGGCGCACTTATTTGATATTATATTCTCGTCGATGTACATGTATTGTCATGACAGTGTCAGTCTGGGGGCCGATTTCCGGACACTCAAACACCATGAACACAATGCATGGTAGGGCCTACATCATACATGTACATGTAACCTGGCCATGTTAGCCTCATTCACGATGACGAAGGCAACATTCTTTGCTTGTTGAATTAATTTTTGACACCCTAGCACAAGCCCTATGAGTCTGTTACGGACATTTCTAGGTGTTTTCTAAATGTAACGTTAACGATTAAGTACAGTCAATCAGTTCGTCAATGACGGTCAAAATTCTATCCTCGCACTGGCGTAGTTTCTGCGAGCGTAACATTAAACAATGTGCCAGAAGACATGAAATTCATTCAAAGGATACCATTAATGAACAGCTCATTAGTATGACAATCAACTATATATGTATAGGTTATGTTCAACAGTATACTTACCCAACTTTTGAAAAGGAATGTGGCGATTTGTAAGCAAAACAGCAGACGTACACAGCACAACTGTAGCTCCACAGAGACTTCGCCGATGTGTGGCTCGATATGCACTGGTAACCTGCCGCTCCAATTTACAAACGCTTCCACTGCGGTTACTGGTAACCGTCAATGCTATTCATAAACAAAATAGTTTTCACATGGGGGAAGTGTGTGTCATGACGTGCATGTAATAAACGCTTCTGTGAATCGCGACGTGATCGACTCTGAGCTAATGGAAACTTCCAAACAAAAAGCGGGGCATTTGTGTTTGCTCTGGAAAATCCGGGTCACAGTCCGTCCGCGAACCGATCAGATTTTTATTCATATTTCCACCTCTTAAATAGCACTTAGAAAGGCATGTTTGAGATTAAAATTAAATTTTGATTGGATTGGAGAATGGAGTTTTAAGAACTATGATTTATAAAATTCGTTACCTGTTTATATAATGGATTATGCTATACCAAAGGTTTTCGGTGTTGAAGCCATCGTGCCTCGCCCACTATTGTGTTCCTTACCCAGTTAGTCATGCAAAAGTTTGTAGATTTGAAGACAGGAGGTACTGTGACAGTTAGAAGACTACAATAAAACAAGCATGAGACAAAGTACAGTCTTGGAGAAATAGATATTAAATTCTGAGACAATACGGTGGAACTTTCCCTCTAATCTTGAAATAAGTATCACGATCATGCAAAATTTTGATCAACGGTTCAAAAAGTTTGAACGGCTCGACAATCGATGAGGGCATAACACTTAACTTACAGTAAGCTAAAATTACGTCAAAACTTACACAGCATCTGTTTTCTTTCTTAGAGGTTTGCTGCAATTAATTTGTTTTAATTTAACCCGATCACCCTTTTTTCAAGTTGTTTCAAAGGGTATTTTACTGCCTTTTTGGTTTTCATGCTACTGTAACTTGCATATTCATCAGCAAAACTAAGATGTCATCCCAGGAAGAAAGCCTTAGCTGTTTTGTTTATTTTTATGTGCATAGCAAAACGTGAGCATCAATACATTTCTTTAAAACGTTTTCAGTCAGTAAATTCTGGGTTCAAAATGTTTGCAGAAAAACCTATGCCATTGCATGTCTTCCGTGGATGGCACAGCAACAGCGCCCTCACGTATGTTCTGGAAAGCATGGGTAATAAATTGTTTAAAAGGTGTTTGTGCATTTAACCAAATAGGAGTATAACACAGTTTTCATTCATTGAAAAAGATTACAAAGTTGCAGAAAAATTCACTCCGGCTAGAGTAAGTTTTTAAGGAGTCGAAACCGCTACACTTCTTACTTTGAAGGGGACGAAGGCCCGATTCTTAAATGGATGAAATAAAAACGTGACAGTCGTTTAGGAGGAAATCCCAGTTTTGGACATCGGCTAAGAAATGGATATATATGTACAATGTATTCTATTTTGACGTGACAGTGCAGGAGTAGAGCAACCATTGCTTCCACAGCGAAATATAATTACGTATTCAAAATGCATATCATAGCCTGGCTTTTCCTACGACAATTTTTTGCACGGCCTCATCGTCCAAGGGTGCGTAAGTCTTTTTCTCCTCATCCATGAAAAAGAGAGGGTCTGATATGACATTGGGGTCAAATCCCTCTCGGGCGAGGTCTGTCTTCTTCTGCTTGAATGTATCCGTGATGTTCATCTCTTCCATAATTCGCAGAAACTTTGGACATGCGTAGAGCGGCAGTGACCTGACCACGTGATCGTAGAGGGCCTTGGGGTCAAGGTGACTTGTCTTCCTGAAAACGATTGCGGCCATTCCTGCTCTGCCGTCGTGACCTTCATTTCCAGTGACAGAGTAACAAAATAGGAAGATTAGCAGTCACTTCAGACTAGATTAAAATGGCCCATAAACACTTCAAATGATCTTTAAACAAGAGTTTAAGTACACAATAAACTCATTATAGTGTTTAAAAACACTGCAAACTGCGTACCAGCTTGATTTGCCCTGAAAATACCAAATACAAATATAAATAAACTCACTGCTCTACTGAAGCAAAACGTCATATTCAATTTTATTTATTGCCGCTAAATACATAAATGCACCAGTGAAGATCTTGAAAACAATGTTACATCTTGTCGATCATACCTGGGACCCGTACGCCATACACGTTAGCCTCTTGTACACCTGAGTACTGGTTTAGCATATGAGCTACTTCTGTCGTTGCAACATTCTCGCCTTTCCATCTAATTAGAAATAAGGAAAATGTATCAGTTCGTCAATTCACACTTAAATGTGCATACGAAAAGTTGATCACGTGTCATCGAATTATTCGCCCCAACACACAACACTGCTGCACTGCAAAATTAGAAGTTCTATTCCATGGTAAGTGGAATTTATTCATTCAAGTGCAAACTTGAAGGGTATTACATATAATTGCATCGAACCGCCGAACTTACAATTAGTATTCAAAATTACCTGAACGTGTCTCCAAGTCGGTCTTTGAAATACAGGTAACCATCCTTGTCGTGTACCATCAGATCGCCAGTGTTGATAAACGAGTCGCCATCTTTCGTCACATTTCGAACCAGTTTCTTTTCGGTTAATGAACTGTCACCAAGGTATCCGTCGAAACGCATTGTACTATTATCCAGACGAACAAGCATAAGACCAGTTTCCCCTGGCAAAACGATGGTAACAAAAATATCATAGCTCTGTGTTAAAAACAAACACTCTCAGATCCAAGAAATAGAGCAAAGCAGAAACAATAACGCATTAACTGTCCACCCATCTATCAGCAACATTCAGACATAAAAATATCTGACAAGGGGCTTGACCCCTCCCGTAAAACTGGATCCGCCCCTGGTACACTGTAGGGGATATGGAGTCAAGTGTTTTTCACAAAAAAATCCATAGGACTATCGGTCTGTGATATAACACAATTGAGAGTTTTTTTCCGTAGGAGGAAGAGTATAGGTTAATTATCTCGTGAAATGAAATTTTCTGCTGCAGAGCAAGTATATCCAAAGTGTTACAACTGAGTTCGGACGCCCCATTTTCAAGACAATGGTGTTCAGTCATGCATGACAGGAGGGATACCATCAAGGTTTCATTAGAAAGAATACTGCTTCTTCTTTTCGGAGATCCTTATACATTATAATCATATCTCATGGTCTGGGCATATTAACCCCTGTCCTCATCTTTTTTTTCTGGGAGACCCAGTTTATCACACTGTTTGTTGCCATGGATCGACCAACTTTGAGAATTCAACTTTCCCAAATAAATGCAGATATCTAGACAGTAACCGAATCAAGAAGTGAAGGGGCAGCTTAATACCTGGAGGCATGAGAATGCATTTGCCGTCTGGACCACGAAGTGGTTGAGCTGTCTCTATGTCACACTCTACGATAACAAAGGAGTCGGTCAGCGCCTGAAGAGAGAGGTACGTTTCTAGTTAATGCACATGGAAATGGGCGCTCTAACAAAATAGTATTCAGTGTACCATTAAGGAGGACGAAAAGTGGCCATCTGCTTTTCTGATATCAGAATAGTAGAAAAGCAGATGTTACGTCTTGTAACATGCAATTTTTGATTTTTCTACTTTTTGTGGTACCTCAAAAGCAGAATGACCATTTTATTGAAATGCATTTTTCCACTTTTCTGTTTGTTACTACAAAATTAGTTTTATGGCGGACGAAAAGTGGCCAGCTGCTTTTTACCTGTCAAACAAGCAGGAAAGTGGACTGAACGTTTTGACGACAACCGTGAATTCAACTTCAATTGTCCTCAATGGGCCGTGGATGGGGTCATGAACCTCTAGGTTACGACCATTTCCGTTCTGGGGAGTTAAGACGTATAGAAACCAATTAAAGCATGCATTCTGCGGACCTATGAGGAAGAGAAAATAGCATCTCAGAGGAAATACAGTTTTATAGCTGTCATACAATAGACACAACAAGCTTGCTTGGGCCAAGGAAACATGAATCTTTCATTATAAAAGATAAGATGGAGTGTAATTATTGGTTCATACGTCTTCAATCCCCAAGAAAGGATATGGTCATAACCTGAGGTTCACAACCCCCTTTACGGCCCTTGGCAGGCAAAAAAGCAGATGGCCACTTCTCGGCCATACATAAAAAAAGCAAAAAAGGAGAGTTAACGGTTATTGTCAAAACGTTCGATCCTCATTCCTGCCTGTTCGAAAGGAGAAAAGCAGAGGTGCCCCTATGCCAATATAACTTGCAGCCCCAACCTCCATGGGCTGCGTGTGCCTTCCATCCTTAATTTTAATATCGCGGAAGACAAGGTGGGAACCAACATGGCGCAGCAAGATCGTACCCATGGAAACAAGGTTGCCTGTACCCTATACTCAGAGGACCGCTGTATTGGACCTTGATCCCCAAATCCACTTTATATTTCGAATACTTTAAAATCGGATCTAACCTGAATATTTTGCTTTAATTAGAGGTATAGCCTCACTTCGAAAAATATTATGTATTTGAACAATAATAGTGACATAACTTCTTTTTCGGGGGCACAACTGTAATCTCAAATTCTCGAAAAGTTTAAAGGGGTCGGCTCTCTTTCGAACAATGAGTCACCCACACCACGAACTGACACTGACCCCCAAGTGGTTGTTACACAGTTCATGAAAACTGCGTTATTAACATCTGGTAATGCATGCTTACATCATGTACTACAATGTGAAATAGACTGATATTTGGTTTTCAAGAACTGACACCAAAACTAGCTGCAAAATGCTTTGAAAGAATTTGCGTGAATTTGATTCAAATGTACGGAAGCATATCACTACCGACGCCAAAAAATTAAACGAGATGATAAATATTTTACCGCATTGGCAGCAATACACTGCCGTACCGTACCAGGTGCCAGTTAGCAAAAACGATAAATTGGTTATCTAAAATGCACGCAAATGAGCGTACTCATTCGTGCTGTAGGTGACGAATTACTGTGGTGAAACACGAGGAACAACCGTTATGAAATGAAGACAAAAAACCCACCCTGAGAATACCATGGTATCTCCCAGCGCTTCCCACTTTGCCGTCCATGTTGACGATGATAAATGGCAATTCGGTGGCACCGTACAATTCAGCAATGTGGCCGATGTTGAATCGCTTTTGAAATGCTACCCATACATCGGGCCTCATACCATTGCCGATAGCGTAGCGTATTTTGTGAGTATACTTGCCATCATTGGGGCACTATTCATATAAAAAAGGGCAAAAAGTCTTATATTAGAAAGTCTTTTTTTCTGGGAATGGCAGAAACTGTCAGTGCGTCGACGTCACATGGCAAAATAAATTCTGATGCAAGTGTTTTTAACTATGGAACTTTATCATAATACCGCCAGTTTTGTCTTGCCCCCGTGTAACAAATTATAAAAGTAATACAACTGTACGCATTGATAAAAGGATACAAACTTTTCTCTCTATCAGTCTGAGTTTGGTTACATCATTTTCATTTTTAGAAAAATAAGATGGCTGCCCCATGTTAAATGTCTATGGACTGGATTTATAGCAATGACAGGTCCCAGTTTCACTGTTTCGGGCTTATGACTGCATGGTAGAGTCAAAAAGAGATACAATGAGGCAACGAATGGATTTCAATTATTAATTTGGCTTTGTGCCATTTAAAAAAGTATTCTCAGCGAGGTCCAAGAGATGAAAAACCGCAAGCTCTGGAGAGATGCTTTGAAAGCTGTAGAGTTGTAAAGTAGTGGGAGATAGTAATGAAATCCAGCTTAAATTAAAGCAAAATTTCAAACTTTGTATGGTGGAGGATTAGACCAAGATAAAAAGTTTTTGGGTGCACCGAGTGAAATCAATTTCTTATAGAATGGTGGTTCTGAGAAGAACCAGCAATTGTATACTCGACATTTCGACCAGGATGCTGTTGTCGCCCTCAGGAGATATGCCAGAGAGGAGTGAGTCCTGCCTTATGGTGTGGAATTGGTGATGCATATGTGAGAGAGCGTGCTAATGCAGGTTCGGCCTGTGGTTACTGGCTCGCGGAGTGGTGGATACTGAATCCATCGCTGGTTACTGGAGCGATGACGGGGTGGATGCTGGATGCTGTTCGGGGGGGGTGGCGTCAAGCGTTGTGTGGACTTCTTGTGTAGAGGAACCCAACGTCCGACTCGGATACAACTCATTTGCTGAGCGTAGAATACGTTGGATGTGGTAAAAGTCTGGGTCTAAGTAAAGAAGAGACACCGTGGCACCGGGAACTTGGCTTCGGGTATAGTTGACCCTAAAGCCGTGGGGGTGGTGGGGGCATAGAACCCCTAACTGCGAGGGGACGGGTAGGACTTTGCGCATAGGAGTCACTAACATCCTGGGATTGAGGGCGCTTGGAGAAGTTGATCTGGCTAAGGTAGTATCAGTTTTGATGAAAAACAATCTTGATGTGCCAGAGTTTTTGTTAGAGGGACTCCTTGTCACAGATCTCGCAGACTTGTTAGACATTGGTGCAATTGACTGATAGACTTAATAGCGGGGTGATGGAAGGATCTGTGGTGGAGGTCTCGGGTATGCGATGGATGCGGATGACATCGAGGACAGACAGCTGGTTCTTGTTCTCGTTCCATGGTGAACATTATTGAGGGGTGTTGCTAGTTGAGGCAGTCCAGCAACCCTTGAAAAGTATCTTGACCACGAGGCCAGAGGACGAATGTGTCATCCACGTGTCGCAACCAGAGGCTGGTTCTGAAGTCGGCAGTGAGAAGGGAATTATGATACTCTTCAATGGAGATGTCGGCTAGGACTTGGGATGTACATATAGGTGACTCCATGGAGGTCACTGCCGTTTGCCCAAGGAACTTGCCTTGGAACTTGAAATAGCCGGATGAGAGCGGCATATCTCCTGAGGACGGCCAGAGCATCTTCATCGAAACGTCGAGTTCATACTCACAGACTATAACCACGGCTCTTACAGAAGAGACATGGTTTCTGCGTTTTTTTTAATTAAAACAACTGAGCCATGCTACAGTTCCTGTAACCAGATCAAATTGAAAGTGATTAGTAATATTTAAATTCGGGAGACCAGAGGAATGACAAGCATATAACATCCAACTTTCCGCTGATGGTGTTACACTGAGGGCATTTTTACCGGTGGCTGTGCGAGGAGGTAACGGCAAGTCTCCCCGATGTACTGGATCACCGTGGCGCGGTATCTGCGGACGTCATCCCAAAATTTCCGAACTGAGAAGCTAGTCAGAGCTACGGTGCCCCCTGAAAGACAAAGATTGAAATACTTGGAAAAGGGATCCAACAAGGAAGGGAAACCCTCGATACGAAATGAATCATGTAACTTGGAAATCTACATGACATTATGTATTAGCCTATAGCTCTACATCACTGTCTTGGAAAGACTGGAGAATGCATTAAAACCCTCATAAAACAGCGGTGTATCTGGGTCTAAGGTGTTGGTGGGATAAAATGGGAATTCGTGTTGAACTGACTGTCTAAATGTTTTGTCATCTGTAAAGGAATCTCCCAGAAAATGGTATCTTGTTACCAAAATACAGGCTCTTCCAATGCCTCCAAGGTACATTTCCAAAGCAACTTCAAGTCATAGACTGATTAATCCGTGGTTTGGGTTGACGGATACAAGTAAACGATGTCATGGGAATTTCACCTTTCCCAAACAGAGGAAGTTGTTAGTGGCCACTGCAGTTATATATGATAACTGGCGAGCTGGGACAACTAGGAGCTATAATTTGTTGGCAGTGATTATAAGGAAGGAAAACATAATAACAACCGCTCCAGAGGTAAACAGAGAACATCATGGACGGACAACATGAATGGACAGTGTCAACGCTACATTGGCTACAGCAGACCAATCAGAATTGAGGAGAGTGGTCGCGAAGACTTTGGTAGAATATGGCACATGATAATGAGGATGATGGTGGTGGTGATGAAATGCTTATTGAGTTGTGACTGTGGGCCGTAGAATTATGACAACGGCAATGCTGACACAAATACCGGCACTGTGTTGGTACTGATTTTTATCACGACGCTTACCAACTCGTATGAGATTAGGGAGTCCCACTAATAAGGCTGCGCTGTGGTAGAGAGGCAGAGGAGTGTACATGACGTCATCCTTAGTCAGTCCGAGCGAATGGTGTATGAAGGAACTCCGGACTTGGCGATAATGAGGTATCTTCGCTGGTTTAGGAAGACCTACAAGAGCAATGTAGTATGAGACTTCAACACAATAACGGCTTCAATTGGGGTCATTGGGGTCATATGTAAAATTAAACATGTTGTCCCTTTTCCAGTCTTATTATCTTTATATAATTCTTTAATTTTATCATACCTGAATTATAGTACACCAAGTCTTATCTTGGGACAATGCTCATCAAATAGTCTTAACAGACTATTACTTCTACAGAAAAGGGCTCTTCGCATAATTTGCTCTGCTGATTATCGTGCTCATGCAGACCTTCTATTTGCTCAGATCAGGACTCTTAAAATTAAGGATATATATTACCAGCAACTTGGGTCTCTCATGTGCCAGTTTACTACAAATACCTTACCTTCTTTTGTTCAGGCAATATTCATTCGTAATCTTAACCTACATACTTATTTCACTCGTCAAGCCTCTCACTTTCACCTCCAACGTAAACCCGTACTCTCCTTACCCCAAGAACTGTTAAATATGAGGGACCCAAGTTGTGGAATTCATTATCAGGTTCACCTAGAAATTTAAATACTCTGTCAGCTTTTAAAAAGAAATAAAAGATCTCTTTGTTAAATACATATTCTTAATTCCATTCGTTCGTACACGTATTTCTGTGTTTTGGGCAATTAACACTTATATCTTAATTTAACATACCATGCTGGTTTCAGGCTACACAAACTTGTAACTACAAGCTTACCTGTTTTGTCTGTGTGTGTGTGTTTGTAATTTAATAAGTAATGTTACAAACGGGGCCCAAATCTATAAGCATTGCTTATAGCAACGCAATCGCTAAGACCACTGAATTTCCTACAAACCTAGCAAAGATGTAAGATTGAGGGCAGCGTATACATGTAGTATCTGGTTTGAAGCAAATCGAAAATGGAAGATGAACAATCTCGCTCAGTTTGTCAGAAATGTCTGAAATATTGCTGTGGAATATGATACTGGCATTTCCCCTTTCGTGGACACTGTTGGCCTGTAGCCAAGGCGCTCGTGGGTTCAGTGAATTAATTTTTGCCCCATTGAAAACAGTACAAACTCAACAAAGTTCAGGGCTCCGTAACATATAAGCCGACAGTACTGAAGAGCTTCTTAAATTTGTTGTCTTCGCCCTCATCTTTCCATTTCTTTTCACTCTGTGGTGGGCAGGGCTAGCCAATTACTTTTATTCAGGCAAAACAACCACATTCCTCAAAAAGTGATAGTTCCCAAGATAATACTTTCACGGGCACTGAGGACCGTTTTCCATCTGTAATTTTATTACTTCTGCCCTCGGATGGAAGCCCCTAAACCTAGGGAGTTGATCCTGGACCACATTTCCGCAATCTCCCTATTCTTTTGGTCAAACAATCTCCTTTTTGAAATGAAACTGAGGGGGCACTTTTTATACTAATGAGCGTATATTGCCGTGCATTTAAGGACACTCAATATAACTACATCTGTGAAGTTTGGATTTAAGCACTTCAATGGGAAATCTTGACATTTTGGCTTACCTGTCGCAGGAAAGTGAGCATTTTGTGGCGTAAACCCGAATTTCACAAACTAGTGTCACTGCGGGAAAAGCTCCCCAAGGTTTAGCAAGAGAAAACGATAGCACATCGGTACCAACGATATTGGGGAAATTGTTACAGTAAACCTACCCGTCGTTCCTGAAGTGAAGATGTACTGCGCGTCGTCAAAGTAAGACATGCCCTCGCGTTCACTCAGCGGTATGGGATCACTGCGCTCGTTCCACGTCTGAACACGGACCATCCCCTCAGGAATGTTCCGTTTCTCCCGGTTTCCAATGATCCATACTCGGACGCCCAGCATCTGCAGTTCATGCAGGATAGCCTCTATGGAGTTCATCAAACGTTGATCTGTATCAGATAAGAAGATGAGAAATAGAACGTGAGCTCCTAGTTACCTGTCTATTTACAGATAGGATCTTGGAGATAGAAGAGGAAAGATGAATCTTTTATTTCGAAACTAGAGTGTCACCCCGTTGTGATGTGCACATGCATATTTTTCTTTTTCCAATTTACTTGTTATAATATTATAAATTTGAAAACATTGGAATATTTGAAAAAGACTCTCGCAGCCGAAAGGCTGAAGCAGTCAATTTTGAAATATAAAAATAATGATAACATGAATTGAATTACATCCTAAACGAAATAAAATAAACATCATTTAGCCCTAAAAGAGCTGGGGACGGCATCGGCCTTTTCGACTTTTTTTTTCTAATATCGCCACATTGTATTATTTCAGGAGTTGGGCCTTTAGAAATTTTTAGAGTGCAAGTCTTTGTGGTCATTTGAACACCAATTCTGTGAAACTTTGATCGAACATACCGTTCCTGCCCAGCGCGCATGTTTTCCAGGACAGGTCAGCCAATAGATGTATACTTTCCCCTGCGGTGCTCAATGCACGCAGGATCGTGCGCATGTAACCTTGAAGTCAAATGACTGTAACAACAAAACCATAAAGCTGACGGAGCTCAAACTTATTTATTAATGATATGGAGTATTTCTACGTGCATGCTGAGTTTCATAAACATCGAGCATGGGACAGCCGAGTTCTCAGGGGGAGCGGAATCCGCCCCCGGCTGGCCTGGGAGATAGGCCAAAATAACCCGGCTCTCTTAGGGTTAAAGACAACCAACTCCACAAGGACAGGTTAATAATCTATTACAAGGTAAAAAGACAGGAAGTAAAAAGAAAAACAAACACAGATAAAATGTATCTTTGTTTAATTTAAATGCAAGAGTTGATATAACAGGGCCAAGCACAGGCCAGGCAAAGGTCAAAAGGGGCACAGATACGTCAGTCTATCACGAGCTTGTCTGCACAACAATTAGTAAAAAGGGCAGTCTTGAGAAACCTTGATAACATTTTGGCAGGTGTAAGGTATAAACCCTCCTGTTTTGAAACAAGACAGAAAAGCATCTTGAGAATGACTGCTTCCGGGGTGTCAACTCATTTAAAACAAAATCAACCAAAAAATCTGATTAGTTAATTCTAGTGGTCTCAGTTGGTAGCAATATGGCGGATCTGCCATATTGCTGGAATGGCTTGGTTACACCAAACACAACTCAAACTGTCGATGCTTTGCAAGAACCTTGAGAAACGCTTTAAATCGTGTCCTAAATATTCCCCCAAATGTCAATACTTCCACTAAGTTCCTTTGAATGTGTAAAGCAAAACCTTTTCCGTACTAATGACCCCCTTTCCCGATAAAGTCGGTCAAGATCCGGGACTGTGTGGTTAGGGGAAGGGAGCGTTAAACACGATCTTTCTTTGATCATATAGCCACGAATAAAATGAGAAGGCCCCCTACCCAATCAGAAAACCTGAACCCAAGTTTCCCCGCAAATGAGACCATACGTTTATGCAATTGTTGGTAATAATCATAGCAAACTGGTCCTAACGTTTCCCCCAATAACTGGGGCTATATCCTGGTTCTTGACAGGATATTCACATACCTTCACCACAGGCAATCGCTTTCACATTACAAGCTTTGATACAATGGAGGAGTGCATCACCTCTCAGGTGATAGTTCAGAAGAGCAATCCGCAGGCCGAGCTTGTTGAAGGCCAACCAGGAGATAATGAAACTGGGCTCGTTCATCATGAATATCCCTACAGTGTCCAAGCACATCACGGCCTTAGTTCCCTTCACAAATCGAGCCAGTTTGTTGGCCTCTTTGTCCACTTCTCCGTAAGTGTGCAGCTCGTCTTGGTACAAGATGAACACCTTCTCTGGTGTCTGCTTGGCGTGTTCCTCGAAGAAATCGACGAGTTTGGTGTTCTTCTGTTGTAGCGTGGCCAGTAATTTCTGGACACGCCATCTTTGCCGAACAGCAGCTAGGTCCTCAAAAACGGTAGGACCGTACTTGAGGCGAAGGAAGGTCACAGTTGCCAGCGGTAGCCCTGTAAGGGTTGCCACTGCCGTCACCCCAGCCACTTTACTACCAACAGGGAGAGGCATTCTGTTTTAGCACTCGAAACCCAGGCACTCAAAGCAAATGAGAAAAAAGGATCCTGCGCTGCAATATTTATCGCGCCTTTAGGGTTGTTATTGGGTCAACAACACGGGACCCATGTGGTGAGATATATTTATCTGTGTACTATGATCTCACTGCTGTTTTGAGGACATAGGTAAATCAAGCCATGGTGAGGGCAAGGTTAAATCCAGCCAAGGTCACATTTGTGTAACCGAGGAAAATGGTAGGACGGTTACAAAATACTGTTGCGCACCCGCAAATCGTGGAATTCCAGCGCCCCCTAGTTTTACTCGTTCTCGGTCCTTGCATTTCTCATGGTCTCTTATTTAGCTCAGCTATGCGTTATGGACATGTAGAAGAGACGCTAATTTTGCATTAAGTTATTCATGCTGTACTGGCGTGATGGCGTGATCCTTCACTCCTTTATCCTTGTGTTTTCTCTGCTCGGTTTTAGCATGTCGAAATTCCCCTCATGTGGCTGCGTGGTGGGGCGTGGTAAGGTTCCCTGAAATGCTAATGTTCAGAAACCTCAGACTTTATAACTGTCAATCATTCGCCACAGATGACCGGGTAAGCACTTTCATGCACCCGGCTCTACACTTTATTCACGTGACTTCTTATTCTGTATTTTACCTTTTTACACACGGCACATAGATTCTTGCGCACGACTCTAGCAGGAAGTCATGTGACCCTTTGAGATGGAAGATTTTCATTGGTTGAGCTGTTCAGCGACGCTCATATTTTATTAATTCCTAAGCCTCTAAAATCCTATAAATAGTTCAGATTTTCCTTAGCTCGTCGGTCAGGTGCGGCGGACCAAACCCTTATTGCGAGAGCGGAACCTAACGTAGTGCGGCGGTTGGACCCTTACCGAGAGAAGTGCGATAGTAACCATTCTTATGACAAACAAATGTAACCATATGAATGGCCAGCTAGCTTAGCTTGGACCGATGCGAGAGAGGTACGAATTAGCCCAGGGTGTTAGTGAGAGTCGTAGCGGCCCGTCACCGCTATGTCCGAACCGATTGGCGGGAGAGACACCCCCGTGTCCCTCGTCACCCTTGTCTTGCTGACTAGCCCCCGCCCTCCCTGTCTCTACGCTGAGCCAATGGTACACAGTGCGGCGATCTTATCATTGCGCTCAACACATTGCGGTCTGAGCGGCAGTGCGGTCGGTACATACCGGCGCTGGCCCCGTCCAGCCCATGCTAGTCACCGTGGTGGTCCGGGACAGCTCCCACCACGGCCCGGCCCGATGAGTGTAGCCTAGCTGTGTGATGCTACACACACGTACCGTACCCACTCCGTCTAACTTGCATTTCCAATGGTCCTGCCAAACCGTAGTTTAGTTACACTCGTATACAACTTCGCCTCTCTATAACTTTGCCTTTTGTGTGTCGTATTATGTTAAGCTACACCTTCTTCAAACCCACATTGAACTTTGATGAAGAGAAGTGAGAGCAATAAACCAACCATACAGTTTGACTGTCACCCAAACCCCTTTGTTTCACGTCCACCCTTTAATAAATTGTTGACCCCAAATATCACATCCTGTAGACACTAATGAAGTCCATGCTACCATCGACTTGATATTTAGGGAACGCAACACTGGCGGCAGCGGTGGGATATAAACTCAGTAAACGTCAGTATACTGTAGCACATGTAATACTACTCGACCACACTTACTGCTCGAATTTAGCTTTGTTCAAGGAAGATACGACACCAAGTAGCTTGAACGCGAGTCATACGCATGTGTACATGTACCAGTACACGAAACTGTGCGACTGCGGTTACTCTTATGCCCAAGTTACTATAGCAACCACTCCTTCGTGAACTCTCTGAACTACCACAGAACTCAGTGTACGTGCAGCCTGCATGTACAGTATAGTGACCATGCCGAAGAAATACAGAAAATCGCGGCGGTTGAAAGCTTCGGCTGCGGAAGATGACCTTGACCTATCCCTCGAGCCAGTCACCCTGGCCGACCACACGGACCAGCTGGAAACTCTCAGGCAGCGACTTGACCAGGCAGAGAAGCGGGCTGCGGAAGCAGAGCAACGGGTCACCGCACTGACGCAGTCGAGTGCGCCCTCTACACCCCAGTCCCAGCCGGAGAAGTCACCGAATCTGCTGAGTGACTCACTCCCCAGCG